AAATAAATGTTTAGGTTTTGGGTGATTTTTGCAGAGAAAAGAGCTATTTTCTGAGGAGTGTTGATCTGGTTACTTTCAGGAAAGACCCCTGTCATCCTTTTTAAATGGTCTCCTTGCCTGGCTTGGTTTCCTGGGTGGTGTGTTTGGTCAGCAGCTTCTAGGCCATTTCACTGATTTCTGTTTGTTCTGCTGGATGAGGAACCCATTTTTTAGTCTTGGTGTTTGCAAAATCCCTCCCACAGCCTGGCCTGCTCCTTAACTCACCTAATCTTTCCCCAAAGACACAACACTCCCGCTCACCATTTCTCTTAGAGGCGTCCTCTTGATTATTACAATTTTCATCCCCCAAACTATTACTGCTCCTGTTTTTTCCCCCCCGTAGTCAGACTCTGGGCTGTCAGACTCTGCTAGTAGAATTTTTCTTGATTTGATAGAGAAGAAGCATGAAAGTAAGGCCCATGTGCCTTGTGAGTGTCGTTTCCTCCATTCACTGGGGTTTTGCCGCCCAGCTTGCTGCTCTGGGCCAGGGCTGTCCACATTTGTTTGAACCCCCCATCAGGATGAAAATGTCAAGCATGAACCTCCAGTTTACTTGTTGAGTGTGTACACGTGGCACCATCAGTGACTAAAACCCCTGAGACACCACCGACAGTGACAGTGAAGTTCATTGGAACAGTAGTGGCTGTAAGTCTCCCATTGCAAATTATGGGGCTGCCTTGTGTTTTCTTTGGCCGACTGTTGGTCAGATCTGATTTCCTCATAAAGTGGCAGGCAAAGAGCTTGTCAGCTCTGTTCCTTTTTAAGTTTGAATTACCAGTAGCATATTAAGTCTATAGTTTGCGAGGCTTTCTTTACACCATTTGTCCATTTTATGAGGAATTATTTAGTTAACAGGAGATGTGTTTCATAAACGCAACAAACTGCAGACCCTCCCAATATGCTAAAAGCAAGAACAGGTGGGAACAAGGTTGCCAGTTCTCTACCAAGGGGTAACCCTGACAGTGTCCCTGGCAATTCTTTAAACAATCTCATTTGTTATACATGGCCTTCAGATATCTGGGCTGAGTGAGGGTGTCACTGCCAGGCTAGGTGTGAAATATTAGAAAAGCTTGATTGCATTTTTGTGTTTAGGTTTTACAAAGATAAATGGAAATTCTAATTTGGGGAAAGAGAGTATCACTTTGTTACCCACAGTAGAGTGCCATGGCATTATAGCTCACAGCAAGCTCCAACTCTTGGGCTCAAGTGATCCTCTTGTCTCAGCCTCCCAAGTAGCTGGGACTACAGGTGCCTGCCACAATGTGTGGCTATTTTTTGAAACAGGGTCTCACTCTTGCTCAGGCAGGTCTCAAACCTGTGAGCTCTGGACAATTCACCTACCTCAGCCTCCCAGAGAGAAAGTCTAATCTTTTCTTTCTTTTCTTTTTTTTTTTTTTTCCGGTGTTCTTGCCGAGGTTAAATAATCTTCCTGTTACTCTGCAGCTGCCCCTGGGAATTCTTACCAGACATTTGTAGAATGCTGTAAGCCTTTCAAGACACTTTTACATTTTTTGTTGTTGAGTTGTAGGAGTTCTTTATACATTTTCAATTACTTTTTGACTATAAAAACCCTCACCTCGATTTCAGTAAGAATATAGCCTCGTGTTCATAATTAATATGTCCCCTCCAGTGTAACAATCAAAACTTTTCAAATTAAAGTGTTTCCCATTTCTCACTTTGGCCGGCTCAGGGCTAAAATGCCTACAGTGGGGCTGTGGGGGTAGCAGAGCTCTCTGTCTTCCCAGCCCTGAAATGGCTTAGGTCAGTAGCGAAGGCAGAGAGAACAGAGAGGCATTTTGCCTCTCACTGAGCTGGATGTCTAGTGCCCTGGGTCACTTCTGTGCATTCCTCAGACCCCTGGCTGCCCCGGGGGCTCGTCCTTCTTCTCTTGCAATTCCCTTACTGTCATCAGGGCCTCCTCCAGGCCGCCCTGTCCCTCCCACGTGGCCCGACTCTGCATCCTGTGTAGCCCCCAGCCCTCCTTTGCCCCAAGGAACTGGGAAGGCAGGGTCCTCCCAGCACAAGCTCCCTTGCCAGCCACTGTCTTCACCTTTTGGCTTTCTTGGTGTGAATAGAACCCCCAGGTCTGTTCCCCACAGATGGCCAGCGGAGGACACAGGCCAAACTGTCTCTGTGGTCTCAGGGACCACTTGGCATAGTCCCCTTTCTTCCCCTGTTTGGGGAGGGGGTCATGGGCACCTACCATACTCCAACAACATAACCTCCATTCATACTCGAGTTTGAAGGAAGTAAAACGCTGGCCAGAGATTTTTCTCTTTCCCATAGAAAGCATTTATCTTTAATTTTTGGTTGTTATTTTAGGAAATAAATGGCGGAGTCAGAGTTCTCCCATCAGGGAGTGTGAAGTGTGGTCCAGTTTCAAAGCTCCTGAACGTGTACCCTTTGGTGCCTCATATTGGGGGGGGGGAGGGCCTCCCACCACTTCACAAAATAACGGCAATAAACTTCCTCCATGATCCCCAAACAACCTTTGTTGTGGTGGCAGATACCACTGGCCTCCCCTTGAGGGGGACTCGGCTGGGATTAACTGGATCTCAGTTCCACCTTATGATCTCTTTGTCACGTCTGATGCTTCTAAAAGAGCCTCTTTTGCCACTGAATTCCGGTGAGCCAAAGCCTGGCCAGTGGATGTTTCCTCTCATAGCCGTTTAACCAAAGACCATCTTCTTTGTCAGTGGCAGATTTCTGTTGGTCTCTGATGCTCTCTGGGCAGCTGTCGGGGGCAAACAGTTTAATGCTTCTCTTATTTTCAGTAAATGTCCAGAAGAGCCCTGTGTGGATGTGTTTGGGGTAAAACATCATGAGATGAGGCTCAGCGCCTGTGGCTCAAGAGGCTAAGGCGCCAGCCACATACACCTAAGGTGGCGGGTTCGAATCCCCAGCCCGGGCCCTCCAAACAACAATGATGGCTGCAACCAAAAAATGGCCAGATATTGTGGCGGGCGCC